CACAAGACACTGGAAAAGAAACAATTATCAAATGCCAGTGTTGTGGGGAGAAATACATACACCTGATTTAAAAAGGAACACGTGAAGGACATAGTAAGTACGTATGTATCATTTTACAAGTCAGAAGACTTCAGTGTCTTTTGACTTGGAAAATGTCAACAAGACAATATGGTTTGAGGAATCCCTTACACACAGTAGCCAGATCTGACCTCTAATTGTCTGAGGGCAAGTTCTCCCAACACAACTAGTGATGGCCCAGGAGAGCCCTCTAAGAGAGAGTTGGTAAGTACCTTGGAAAAGAGCTGATAATAAACTGCAGGTGATGGTATTACAGCAGGAATCTTTCCCTGTGAGTTGGAGATATGTATTTCATGGTGTCTGATCACAGGAAATGTCTCCCAAAGTTGGAGGCTCTCCTACACCTGAAATAATATTTTCATTGTTAAAAGTGCAAGGTCAAAAGAGCTGGATGTCTTACCTATTTTTAAGAAGATGTCTTCTGAATTTCTTTAAAAAAGATTTCACAGATATTTTTGAAGAGCAGTCCCGCAGTAAGCTCAGGGTGGCTTGTGATTATGAAATGAAGTATCTGGTATTGGCCTCCAGATGTCTTCCAGGGCAGTTCTATCAACAGAACTTCCCATGAAGATGTTCTAATCTGCACTGTCCAATACAGTAGGCTCTAGCCACATGGCTATTTATATTCAAGATAAATTAAAAATTCAGTTCACTGAGACACTATCAAGGGTAATTATAAATCTATAGTAATGAAGACCATGTGGTATTGGTGCAAAGACAGACACAACTGACAGATAAAACCAACCTATCAAATAGAATAGAGTGGGAAGTAGGTCAACACATGTATGGTCACCTGATATATGAAAACTTCAAGTAGGGGAAGTGATCTTTTAAATAAACATGTTGGATTCACTGGATATCCACATAGAAAAAAAAAAGCATCTGGACCCACCTTTATATCCCATCATTCACAATAATCAATTCAAAATGGATTGCAGTTCTAAGTGAGTGAACTAGAATAGTAAAGCATTTAGAGGAAAACAGAAAAGGAATCTATAACCTGAAGGGAGAGATTTCTTAAATAAAACCAATCATCATAAACATTTGATACATTGGAGTATGAAAACTAAGAAATTTTTCCCTCAAAGGACATCATTAAAAGAATGAAAAGGAACTCAGAATTGGAGGAGATATTTGCAACACATACACTTGACAAAGGATGCATGTTTTAAAAAGTCCTCTTATAATGGATAAACTGTGGTATATTTATCCAATGGAATACTACTCAGCAATGAAAAGAAATGAATTACTGACAGATGCAACAGCAGGAATGAATCTGAAATACAGTATGCTGAGTGAAAAAAATCTTATACAAAACAGCACATCTGTATGATTCCAGTTATATGAAATTCTGAAACAGGTAAATTTCCCTAATTTACAATGGAGGGAAAAAATTCAGAACAGTGGTTGCCCCCAGGAAAGTGGAAATGGAGACTGAATGAAAGGCAGCATTGAACTCAAAATTCCTTTGCTCAAAACTCAGCAAATGTACACTGAAGATTTGTACATTTCATTTCATGTAAGTGCTACATCAAAAGAAACCTTAAATATGGAATTCTAATTAATTATATATATGCTGAAGTCTTTAGAGGACACATATTGCTATTTCCAATTAACTTTGAAATGCAGCAACATTAAGATGGATAAAATGAAGCATAGAAATGTAATAAAGCAGGTTTTATAAAATGTTAATGGTGGAATCTGTGGTAAGTTTACATACAGTTACTGTAAAATTTGTTAAATTTTGCTAAATATTTGAATTTTTATAATCAAATGTTAGGAAAAATCAAATAAAAACGCTCAACTCAGAAAAATTGGCAAAAACTGTAACAGAAACTTCATAAAGTTATTTCTAAGTAACCAACAAAAATGAAAAGGTGCTTAACTTCACTAATCAGGGAGATGCAAATTAAAATTACAAGAGACACAATTATTACCCACCAAAATAGCCAAAATGAAAAAAGATAGAAAATATCCATTGATGATGAGAAT